TTTGACGTGTGATCTACAAATATTAATTTGCAAAAAAAAGCGTTAAAAAGGCCCTCCCCCGGATTATTTCATGTAAGTTTTTCATAATTAGGCCATTTTACGTCATTTCCAGCAAAAAAAAGTTGCATTTTCGAAAAAGCCGCGATTCGGAAGTTTTACCTCAAATCTATTGTAGACAGTATAATTTATTTACGTGTGTTATACTTACAGTTTATTTTTAAAGTGTTGTAAGTGCCTTCTTTCTAAAAATTTTCCATATTTCCATATCAATATTTTGTACTTCCTATCAATCTGTTGTGGTTGAAATGATTCGCCTAGGTATAATATTTTACCCAAATTTGAAAGGTTCTAAAATGTCTATTTTTAAATGAACGAAAATGACAATGCTTACTCAATAAGAATTTACATTGTAATTGTATTACAATTATTAGTCCAGTCAAAATAAACAAAAACAAGTCATAACATAGCTAAAATTCGCATAGAGCTGAAAATTGGCAGAGACGTTAAATACGTCATTACAAATAAAATGTCAAAAGTCCCTTTCGATCGTACTTCTGCAAATAATTTTATTCAATTCATTATTTATACAGTTGTCTTGTCTGCCTCCAACATCTGCTTCTGTCTTTCAACACTTGTATCGTGGGTATTATCAAGTTCAAGTGTGGCTAGGCAATGAGCTGGATGGGGTTGGAAATTAACAGATAATTATTTGGAGCCAATTCAAACTCTACTTCTGTCTGCTCCAGAAAAAATGCTTAATACTGTTTTTGTAAATGCAAGACGGATTGTAGTAAGAATTGCGGCTATCAAAAAGTGGGACTATTTTCTTCGCCAGTATGCATCAATTGTCAGGGTCAGATTTGCTCCAATATTGAAACAAATACAACAGATGACAATATTTATGATATTAATGAAGAGACAATTGATGCATACATTTTCTTAGAACAGTGAACAGAAATTTCGCAAGAAGAAAATGAAGACGAAGAAATAATTGTCGAAGTAGAATTAGACAATTATCTAATATAACATTTAGAAGAAAACCACCTATTCCACATTAATCATTAGCAATATTACCATTTTTTCAATCAATAGGATACGATCTGATCAAATTTTTTTAATGACAATAGATCGTGGAGTATACCTACTGGGGAAACCACGTTAAAAAAAATGCGCCAAGTACGTTATCTCATAGGTGGTGCGGAAATGTGTGCATATTATGTATCCAATGTTTAAAACCGCGATATCTCACGAATGGTGAGTCGTAAGTAAAAAGGTGACTGGACCATTTTTGTAGAGAATTGAATGTTCTACGATTTTTACAATAAAACTTACCGTTTTCGAGAAAAATGGAAAAAACCTTAATTTTGCACTTTTGACCTTGAATAAAATTTTTTGCAGAAGTACGATCGAAGGGGACTTTTGACATTTTATTTATAATGACGTATTTAACGTCTCTNACTTTTGTCTGATTTTTTTTCACGATAAAACTTACCGTTTTCGAGAAAAATGGAAAAAACCTTAATTTTGCACTTTTGACCTTGAATAAAATTTTTTGCAGAAGTACGATCGAAGGGGACTTTTGACATTTTATTTATAATGACGTATTTAACGTCTTTGCCAATTTTCAGCTTTATGCGAATTTTAGCTAAGTCAAATGTCTATTTTGACTGGACTATTGTATTCACATTTACTTAATGAAATGAAAGGTAAAGTTGTCTACATGAAATTGAAATCGTACAAAAATTTTTACTTTGTCATTAATGTATTAGCTACTAGTATCTACGTATCTACAAAATAATTGCTATTTGCCAAATAATATCAAAGTATGAAATGAGCTTGTGAAAAAAAATATAATGGTAAGAGACTTACAATTGTACAATCACGCGGAAACCATCTGTTTCGGTACAAACGCTGTTACTTTTCTGATTTTAGATTTATTATTCTATTTCAGTTTTGAAAGCTAAACATGATTTCATTAAGTTTAGTGCATAATAGGGTGTGCCAAAAGTCCCGAAACGGGACCATTCATATTAGAAAATGGAGGCTGTGGTAAAGGATAGGTTCGGAAGACAGTTTCACATTGATAATGTTCACATTAGTAGTTAGAAAACACGTCTCCGTAATTAGGTTGTCTCCTTTAGTTTATTTAATGATTTTCACGGTTATTTTAAGTTCAAATTGTCTTTTAAAGGGAAATAGCAATTTTTAATAGCAGAAATGAAAAGAAATTTCACCTTTAATTTGCAAATGTGTTAAGTATTTTCCACAAAAAACTATCCTCCAAGTTCATGTAACGTTAAGCTAGCAAACCTCATGATCTGGATAATCTTCGCAAACCTATCATTTAAAATCCAAGGCTTCGGTTAAAAAATAGTACCTACAACAATTATAGAAACAATCCCTAAGTATTCGACGGCGACGAAGATAATGTTGATATTAACGTAAGATCATCACGAAACAATGAGACAAAGATCTTAAAACTTTTGTTCTGAACATTTTTATAATAGCTTTTGTTTTTGTTAGAGAGTTATCAGCCCATTCTGAGACATTCAGCACACCCTGTAAACCACAGATTTGAGTTAGATGTAAAAGATACGATTTTTTTAAGTAGCTACCTTGTTTGCATTTAATCGTAATGTTCTGTACTCATCCCAGTTGTTAATAGTCTTGATCGGTACTTCCGTTTGAATTCTTTCTATAGCAGGGACTCTTCTTAGATCCTCCTCTTGTAAGAAAATAACAATAAACGTCGCAGAAAGTAAGAATACAGTTACCATGCACCATTTTAATATACATTTTAATATTCGCATTGAAAACTGAAACAAAATATAATAATTTAAGATGGATCGAAACGTATATTAACATTGTATCATTTTTCGGTATGTTTTTTATAATATGTGGGAAGACACTGTAGGTAGGTACATATCAAAGAGTGGTTATTGTTTTGAGGGAGAAACGGTTTTTTCAGACTGCATGTGAATTGCCACCGGAGCCGAAGGCTAATTTTGAGAAACGACTATCAAATGCAGTTAGGTATAAGTTTGTTTATTTTATTACCATATTTCGAGAAATCTCAATATCAATACTTAATCTTATTTAACCTGAATTTTCATCTTGCAATGGTAGCGTGGACGTTTTAGGAAGTTACATATTTACCTAACAATAATAAATTTGAATTAAAAGCTCCATAAAATAATTGTTGAAATTACAAACATCGATAATTAAATTATTTTATCCTTGCGTATGTTAAATGATTACTTTTTTTGTTACATCCATTAAAAAGAAGTAACTTCTACGCTTGCGAACGGTGAATTTAGAAATTCGAAAAGGGTTGTTAAAAGTGTGTTTGGAGTGCGGCGCTGTACGTGTGCGAAAAGTGAACAGTGGACACGGCGGAAATGAAAAGGTTAGAAGCGTTCGAAATGTGGTATTACAGACGAATAATGTAGATACCGTGGATAGAGAAGGTTAGAAATGAAGAGGTATTAGAAATAATAGGAGAACAGAGGACTCTATGGAAGTCAATAAGAAATAGGCGAGATAGGTTAGTAGGACACCATCTCAGGCACGAAGGTCTAGTCAGAGCATATTAGAAGCAGAAACGGAAGTTAGGAGGAGTAGAGGTAGACCTAGATTAGATTACTGTTCGCATATAGTTAAGGATATGGGTTGTTCTAGTTTTAGAGAAATGCTATGATTAGCTCAGGATAAGAAGGAGTAAAGGTGCGTTTCCAATCAGTCTTGGGACTGAGGAGCTTATGATGATGATCGATTAAAACACATAAATGTAATAGGCAATAATAGTCACTTAATTCTTGTTTTATTTTCTCTTCTAAAGTAAAACATTTTTTTAAATATTGTTTACGCTTTAAACATTTAGTATTGGTATTCAACAGAAATTTAAAATCGTCCAGTTACAGGTATAATTTAACGTGGCAAGCCTATGTGGGCAAAGCATACTTTTTCTAATTTCGAAGAATTGACAGAAATTCTATAAGACTCTTATAATTTAATTTAAAGGCAGATTAAATTACATTATCAAATAAAAAACTGTCTTATTGAATGGAAAAAGCAGTAGTAGATTCTATCAGAATTAATGTTCTTCAAAAACAGCTTTTCTACATTATTTCTGTAAATTAACGTAGATTAAGGTAAGTTTATTATATAAATCCCATTTTCATGTTATTTTTGAAAACAATAAACCTACTTATCGAGTGTTGTATTGATAAATATACTTTCTAAAAACGAGACATGCAAAAAGGTAATTATATAATATATTCCTTTATTATACTTTTCAGACAGACAATAGACCTTTTCAGTTACTTGTTACTTCACGAAAAGTATCAAAGAAAAGGCAAGCAATTCAGGAGTAAAGGTTTTTTTTTAATTAAAATGTATAGTCTACCACCAACGAATTGCTTGCTCTTTTCTTGCTTCAGTTTTTGAGAAATTTGAAGATTGTCTCAAGATAGGAAGATGTAAAGTTGCATGCCCAACCAATCTTCGGGCTGAAGTCATTATGGTGATAATAATTATGTCTATGTTATAAGTTAATTGAATCCTTATTATTCTCCACGAATACATCAATTACATAATGTGAAAACGTAAGCAAACATTATTAATTTAATATATATAATTAATCTACATTATATTTATTGTTTTCAGTATCTAAAGAAAAGTTGCAAAGTAAAAAATATCCAGATAAAAGCTGCAATAAGATTTATGAAATATGCCGGGAAGGTAATAAAATACAAAGATAATATAATTTTGAAAGAATGCAGAAAAATTATGAATAGCAAAGATTGGGAATGAACAAAATGGGGAAAAGAGGGAAAACTTTTATGCAGAAATAGAAAATGTGAAAACATAATTGAAGAGTGGAAAAAGAAAATTAAGATATACAAAATATTATCTACAATGGAGGCAAGAAGAAGTTCCAAAATATCTTTCATCATCATCATAAGGTCATCAGTCCTAAGACTGGTTGGACACGTACCTCCCTCTTTCCTATCCTGAGCTAAACTTCGCATTTCCCTAAAACTAGAACAGTCCACATCCTTAACTATTTGCGAAGAGTAATCTAACCTAGGTCTACCTCTACCCCTCCCAACTCCTGTTTCTGCCTCTAATATGTCTCTGACTAGACCTTCATGCATGAGAAGGTGTCCTACCAACCTATCTCGCCTATTTTTTATTGANTAGTCAACAATTTATCAAAACACCGCACAAGACCCCGACTTACTTTATCAGTTTGACAGGTAGATCTTTGTAATTAGGGCGTTCCAAAACATTTTTAAGTACATGTCATTAGATCTCGAAGTACCTACTGTGCATACCTTATTTTTTTTTAGTGTAGTTGAAAGATTTACAATATTATAACCAAATTATACTTTATTCACCCTGTATACTAAGAAAATTCTAATTAAGCGGTACTTAAAATAATTAAACACAACTTACGTAAATTGGTTTAAAAATGACCTTTTCCGTTAATTTCACGTTGCAAAAGAAAAGCAGCAATTATATATTTCAATAACTGTACAAATACGTATTATAGGTAGTATTTTTCGATCTAGTGATTCTCGAGTGAAAACCCAAATATTCTTTGTCATTCTTTGTATTATGTATTACGATCGATAGTATAGTAGAAACAGTGAAGAAGTTTTAAAAGAATCAAATTTAATTTGAAGGTACGTTATTTTTAAAATAATAAAGCACTTCTTACAACTAATTCTATAACAGTTTCACATAGAATAAAGTATAATATCATTATCATTTTCATTTGGCTTTCCACTTCTTTAAATGAAGAAATGCTCCTTGTCAAATTCAACACCTCACATAACATTCCCAAAATTTTATTATTTTTTATTATTTTAATTTCTTTTAATTGAAATAATGATTTCCCTTACGGGGTACATGGTACATGCATAACAGGGAAATCATTATTTCAATTAAAAGAAATTAAAATAATAAAAAATAATAAAATTTTGGGAATGTTATGTGAGGTGTTGAATTTGACAAGGAGCATTTCTTCATTTAAAGAAGTGGAAAGCCAAATGAAAATGATAATGATATTATACTTTATTCTATGTGAAACTGTTATAGAATTAGTTGTAAGAAGTGCTTTATTATTTTAAAAATAACGTACCTTCAAATTAAATTTGATTCTTTTAAAACTTCTTCACTGTTTCTACTATACTATCGATCGTAATACATAATACAAAGAATGACAAAGAATATTTGGGTTTTCACTCGAGAATCACTAGATCGAAAAATACTACCTATAATACGTATTTGTACAGTTATTGAAATATATAATTGCTGCTTTTCTTTTGCAACGTGAAATTAACGGAAAAGGTCATTTTTAAACCAATTTACGTAAGTTGTGTTTAATTATTTTAAGTACCGCTTAATTAGAATTTTCTTAGTATACAGGGTGAATAAAGTATAATTTGGTTATAATATTGTAAATCTTTCAACTACACTAAAAAAAAATAAGGTATGCACAGTAGGTACTTCGAGATCTAATGACATGTACTTAAAAATGTTTTGGAACGCCCTAATTACAAAGATCTACCTGTCAAACTGATAAAGTAAGTCGGGGTCTTGTGCGGTGTTTTGATAAATTGTTGACTAAGAACTTAATGAACTTCATGAAATTATGTTATTATTTAGTTTTGTTTTTAGTAGGCACTTATCCAGTTGCAATCTATTTGTGAGAGAATGAGTAACATATTTCACAATGGTTAATTGTTGAACTTCACTTTTTAATTATTGTAGAATAATACTTTTGACAATATCACAAGGCTGATTATATCTAGAACCTCCTCCTTCATTGTATTTTTTTTTCATAATATTCGCAAGCCAAACCCCCTAATTATTTATTAATACGAAAGTATGTAATATATTGATATACATCATTATTATAATACCAACTACTCCTTAAGGAATGTAAAAATAACGTGTATAACAAATAAATATTTAACAAATATCTTACCTAAATGAAAACCGATATGCGAAATTTATAACACGTGCGTATGTATGTATATGAAAGCAACTGTAGGTATACTGCAAAATAAGAAAATATTAGTGTTATCGTCATTGAAGTGTTCGTATCAGGTTTGAAATCATATGATGTTATTTACCTACTTGATAGTGACAATATAGAGTATACACTTGTTATATTTAGATACGACAAAAATGGAAGCCACTATGTGCGTTATCTTTGTTGGTAAAGGTGATAATACATAACACATTTTGTCTAAACATAAGGATAATATAAGTTCCTCTGATTTTCATAAATAATTATGCATGTATGCAGAAAGTAAATTAATTACAGTTAAGTAAGTACCGTGGATATTATCTAAACCAAGAATGGTGGCGAAAATTTCAGAGCTTAAGAAATGTAACTACATTAGCCCATCGTTTCGTTCACAAGAATTTATACTTCATTTACTTTCTCTAGCGATTTGCCCCTTCCAACGTCTTGGATGCGCGCTGACAAAATCGTAGGTAGTTAGAAAAAAGCTCATTATACTCTCGACTCTTGTTCATTAAACATACTTTTTCATACAGTACCTGCCAAAAGTTTTGTTCAATCATGAATAGTAGTGCGAGTCGAAAACAAGCGTTAAAGCCTTTAATATGTCTTCAAATATAAATAAACATCTCGTTGATATCTTCAGTAGTAATTGGTACCAATAACAACACACTTGAGCATTGCAATTGTAGTGGATAAAATGGTCAATTTTTCCGTGCAGTATGTACGGATTATACGCACCTCACCGGTTACGAGTTTGGTCGAGAGTTGTCTCCTTTCTTTTCTGGCCTACTCCTGTTTTTTTTATTTTGTGCCGGTCAAACTGAAGGTCACATCGCTACAGAAACTAAACGACACCCTAGCGACACCCTCAATATTAGCTATCTTTAGAGTTCAGCTCTTCTTCGAGATAAATACTCGACGCACATCAACTAGCCCGGCCGTAACATTCATAATCAACACAGTGGACAACTAAATAAGCAAAATAAAAACACATAAAGTTTCAGTAAATAGTGTGTTCCCAATGATCAACCCCTCTTCCATTTCGATAATTCTTGCGACCATGAGCGACACCCTTTTCTAACCGAATGCAGTTCTTGTTTATCATCTGCGCCGCAAGTGAAAAAGTGTATTTATAATGTTTTAGTGGTGGAAATATGAGGATGGGAGGAAAAGCAGCAGATAGAGGTGTTATATAAAAGATATACGAAGTGGGTTGCAATGCAAAAGTACGTCCGATAATGTAACAAGAAGGAAGACTAAATATGGGCGAATGTGGAAATATGAAGAGAGGTTGGAAAGGCTCGATGAAGCGGATATCAGGAAGGAAATATAAAGGAAGATAAGAACTGAATATAGTACAAGGAATGGGTGTAGGGGATGTAAATATTTTCTGTCCTGTTGATGGTCTAGGATATGTGACAGGGAGGTAAAATGTCTGAAACATGCGTTAGGAACATGTCAGGATAGTAGATTTTAAGAATAATGCAATGAATTGGTGACTGAAGAAGGGGGTAGGCTTATTAATGCTTCTACAGTTAAGATTAAAAAAAAGGTTTGCCTTTAATAAAAATATGAAATGCAATATACTGTAATTTTATGAAGTCGAAGGTGTGACCCCTAAAGCAAACAATTACCCATACGTCCTTATTTTATTACATCTACTAAATTTGAAGCCATCAAAATATTAGTCATTGTGTAGCATATCGTACTATGTGAAGTTTTAAATACTTAATTGCAGTGTATATGGATAAAAAATACGTGTCATTATGTTCGTACAAGATAACCTCTAAAACCACTCAACTGATTACGAAGAAATTCGGTGAATGTGTATAATTGGTTGTAGCTGAAAAATAGGAAAGTTGCGTTTCTAGAAATTTTTAAAGAAAAAGGGGTTATAATTTATTTTGTTTAATATACCTACCATATAAAATGAGATTTTAAAATACCACCCCTAAAGGTGTAAAATGGGAGTTTGCGATGTAATTTCCGCGCAAACGAAATCGCGAGCAATAGCTAGTAAACATAAGAAAAAAAGTAATACCATAAAAATATTCCGATAACGATGTAATAAAACACATTACCTTTAGGAATAACTGATATGTTTATTGATGTTTCTAGTCAAGATTAAAGAAAACTTTTACCTATTATCAGTTACCATAAATTACTTGAAATAAGTCCAACTGTTTGATATAAATATGTTTTTATTATGATTAATATTTATGTAGAAATGTGGAAAATTATAGATATAGAAGAAAGTAGGAGGAAGTCAATGTTTTACACTCATGATCACCTACGGTTATTACTGATTACTGTTTTATATTGTAAGTGCTATTTTGACGGTAATGGCGGTTAATTGACAAGAGCTATGAAGCTGCAGAGCACATAAAAATTTGTACATAAAAAATCATTTATACTATACTGTCCTCCTTTAGTTATTATTGCAGTTTATGATCGGTACTCACTGAACACCACCAATAATGTGAAAATTATGTAATTATTGATATAAAATGTTTATTCTTACACACTAAAATACAGTGGCGGGGCAACAACTAAATTTGATGTGGGCAAGACAGATTTCGCGAGGCCCTGTTCTATGGCGACCTGAAGACGGATTTTATAAAATAATAAAAACAAACAAAACAATTAACACTGCCAAGTTTTTATTCATAAAAATACAAATTAGATTAATAAGTATTAAATGAAAAATTACAAATCGTTAATATAAAGGTGGAGATATACATTTCTTAAAGTGTATCTTAAAAAACATTAGATTTCTTTATTAAAGGAACAGAAATTTCCTGCTTTTAACGTTACTAAATTCCTTAATTATGGTATCGTAATTCAGCCTAGATGCCAAATCTGATTCAATTGATAAAACAGCCAAAGCTGAAAGTCTTTCTTGGCTCATTGTGTTTCTCAAATAATTTTTTATTAATTTTAATTTTGAAAAACTTCTTTCAGCAGAGGCTGTACTTACCGGAATTGTTAATAAAATTCGGATGACAATGTAAATATTTGGGTAAATTTCTTTCAAGCTATTTTCTGTTATGTATGACAGCAGCTGTTTCACGTCTTTAATGAAGTTGGGTAAATTCGGGATCATTGTATTTAATTCTTCATATAATTCAAATGGTTGGAAGTCACTGCTCTCACCCACACGCAGGACGTTATGTAAATCGTTACAGTGTTTTAATATTTGCTCCTGTGGCATATTTTTTAGCGCGCTTAAATCATAGAGAAAACCAAAGTCTTCAAAATGTTGATTTAAAGACGTAAATCTTAATTCCATATTGGTTATTATAGAATCAATCATGGCGTAAAAAAAATCTGTTTGATACCGGATTTTGGGAGACTGTATAGGTTCATCGCTGCTTTCATAATCGAACATCCTTTTCTTTTTGGCTACTCTTTTATTCTTAAACTCTTTTGGCAGGTCATAACAGCTTTTCTCAGTAAATTTCCGAACATCAGACGTACAGTCATAAAAATAAACAATATTGAATAACACAATTATACGTTTCTATTGTTATGCGCCTAGCGACTGCGTTGCGTACTTTGATTTGATTGGTTGACTTCCTAGTGAAGAAAGTAAACAAATAAACCGGGGATTCCCCGCACTCTGGTCGGCGGCAAATGTTGCCAGACTAAGAAAACATGTTTCACAACAAAATTGATTTATATTTTTTTTGTTTTATTCTCGCTTTAAACATTTTTGAGTCGCGAGGCCCCTTGTACCGCGAGGCCGTAGGCGGTGGCCCACGTCGCCCACGCTTAACGCCGCCTCTG